GGGTCCTCACCAGCTGGCAAGCCTGTTTTACCTCGCCATCTGTCAAGCCTATTCACCTGAATGTCCTCTGCCTCCTCCCCCTCGCCCTTCTTTCCCTTCTCTCAATCCTCAACCTCTTTTACACTTTCTTTCCCAAAGTCTCTGTACAAAACCTACTGACCTTGCAATCTCCACAACACCCCCTTGAGTACTGATTCTCTCAGCTTGCAGAGCCCTTAAGATCCCTGTGTCCTTACCTTACTAGACAGAAGCTCCTACTCACCCCATTAAGTTGGACATCACTGATTCAGCAGGTCATAGGAGCTCAGCCACAAGAGCTCCACACGAAGCTAAGACAGCACTAGCACCTGGAGGAGAGGGTCAGCCAGTCCACAGCCAACCAACCCTGACGAAACTCCTCCTTCATGCGGGCACCATATGAAGAGCAGGGGAAGTCTGGCCCCAAGAAGCATCTGGTCTCGGGTGACAAAAAAAAGACACATCCACTCCAGATTTTAAAATAATAATAAGAAATCTGACCATGAAGGTGAGCTTTATGAAAAATAAGCTTCAGAGGCAAGAGAAAGTGCTGTTAACTTGGGTCCTCGCAAAAGACTCCAAGAGGAGGTCAGATAGGAGCGGCCCTGGTTGCTTTGGAAAGGCTGAAGGTCTATTGCAGGCCTGCATGCTGCTGAAGAATCATTGCAAGGTTTGTTCTTTGTATCAGTATCCGTCATGGAAGAAAAATGGGCTCCAGCTACAGCAGGGTAGCATTACTGAATACCGACTCTCTGTCAGGCACTGGGCCGGGCCCTAGGAATACAAAGAAGGCCATACCTTCAATGCTCTGCCAGCCTAGATGGGGAAGAAACCACAAGTTAATCCTTATAGTGCAACATGGGAAGAGCCAATACTAGATACACTCAGGGCATCACGGGGCACCATGTACACACCTAAGCCTCTGTTGGGGATGGGAAACGAAAAGGGTCAGAAACAGCTTCCTGTAAAGCAGGTATGTAAACTATGCAAAATCATGTAAATGATGCTTCTTCTTCTCCCATGCCATATTCAACTGAATTTCCACCCCAAGAAAAAACATTGGCTTTTTCTTTGGTACAACAAATTGAACTTAGTGGCACCACTGAGCCATATCACCAGCCCTTTTTATTTTTTATTTTGAGATGGGGTCTCACTAAGTTCCTTAGGGCCTTACTAAGTTGCTGAGGCTGGTCTTGAACTTGCAATCCTCCTGCCTCAGCCTCCCAAGCTGCTGGGATTACAGGTGTGCCCCACGTGCCAGCTACCATTGGCTTCTTAAACCAAGGTCACAATGGGGTGTCAACATCCAGCCCACTCTCTGTCTCCTTCTGTGATCTAGGATGCCTCCCTGACCCATCAGACCCTACAGGGCATCCCTCCTGCCAGCATGATGCCTAGGAGCTCTCTGATTCCCAAGGCTTGACAGAAAGTGGGGAATGGGGAGGAAAGAGCATCCTAATCCCAGAATTCTCATACTCCGAAGCCTTCCTCTTTCCCGCCCTTGGGGAGGATGCCCCTGTTTCCCCCCACCCCAGTTCTCCACCCAGCTGCCTCCCTCCCCCTGATGCAGCTGCTCCATCCTCCCCCATCTTGAAAGAATGCACCCTCCCCTCCAATTCTCCTCCACAGGGTGCAGAGCAGGAGGGAGACAGCATATGGCCCCATTTTCCTTGGCCTGTGTAAGCTATTTTGGAAATGAGAAACCCCCTTGCCCTTTCCTCCTCTCTGGGGAGCACCCTCCCCCCCTCTGCACATTCCCCAGAAGTTCTCAGACTGAGATCCGCCCTACGTGCAGTTATGTGGTGAAATCACCCCTTTCCTCCCCCAGAGGCTCTGAAACTGGGAAGGGAGCGGACTCAACCCTTTGATGTAGGCACGTTTTAAAAGGCCCACCTGTCCCCTCGCTCCCTATGACCCCCGCCCCGCCTGAACTGCTGACTGCTGGAGCCCCTCATCACAGCTTTAAATCCCCAGCTACCCCCGCCCCAGCTTGGCCCAGATCGGTCACACACACACCCTCTCCTGCTGGGGGTAATCAAACCCAACCATGCTCACTCAGGGACATCTGTCTCCTGCGAATACGGAATGATCCCAAACTTGAGGGGTTCTGTGACACTTAAAAGCTTCAAGCAGGAAGATCTGCAATTTCTCTTGGACCAGGGCCTGTGGGGAGGGTCGCTCAGAAACCCCTCGTTTGATGTTGTGCTTTCATGGCTGCGGTTTGATCCAGATGTTCCCCAGTTGTGGGATTTTCTCACTGGGAGGGAGGGGCCCTTGGCTGTGAAGACATTTCCATCATGTGCACATTTGGATCCGGGCTGCTTGGGAGGGGGAGTTCTTCCAGCTCTCGGCAACCCCACCCTTTCCCCCAGGTCACATCCTTTCCCTTAACATCCAAAGAAGAGAGAAGAATCCCAAACAGAACAGGGAATTCCCACTAGCTTGCTGGCTTGCATCTCTGTTCTTCTGGTTTCATAAGATAGAGCTGGAGTTAGTTCCCCGTAGTGGTTCCTAAATCATGGGAATAGGAAAGGGAGTTCAAGAATCAAATTTCTGGCCAAGATACAAAAATTATCTAAGAAATTGTGAAAGGAATTGGACCCAAAGTGGATGAGTCAGGGTTCTTGAAGAAGCAAGTGACTTTCCCTCTTCCAGGACAGTCTCTCAAGGACAGAAGTGAACTTTTATGACTGTCTGCTCCCTCAGAGCTTCAAAAGGTCAAGGTCATGTCCCCTCAAGGGCTTCAGTGAAACCCTGGAAATCTTTCTTTCAACTTTAAGAGACTTCAGTTCTCCTGCTGTCCAGCCTGAGGTGGCTGTGGTGTTAGTCCCACTCAGGGATCCTCTCAGGCCTCTGGGAATCCCTCAAAAGCCTTCTGGAGTCACCTAGATTAAAAAGAAAAAAAAATCATCAGGTTGCTCCTGGAGCTGTGCTGGTGACCCCATAAGCACGTGGCTTCTTGCCTCCATGTGGGAGTCACAGCCTAAAATGGATAGATGGCTGCCGAGCACTAGAGGACAGATGGATCCCAGCCCTTACTGGTCCAAGGCACGAGCCCATGAATGATCCTGGAGGACTTTCCTCAGCCTCAAGTTTGCGTAAGTGGACTATGTGCCGGGGAGGGACCTGCATGGGGAGAAGCAGCAGCCTGGGGTGCTTGTTGCAAGAAGAGAAATTTCCAAGGAGGCAGAGGTTGGAAGACACTGAGTGGGACAAGACACTGGGAGGAGCCATAAGAAACAAGCCAGTGGGAAAAGGGCACTGTGCCCTCTTGGAGTAGACGTAAGGGAGGGCTGGAGCAAGAGGTGAGCCGAAGGATGGAGAGAAGAAGGTGAGAAAATCTCCATGTGGTTGTTCCACCTGTAGGATTGGAACAATTGTCCCCAGCTCCTTCTGCCTGTGTAGCACATTTGGGGGACAGTTTTTTTTTCAGGGGGCCCTGAGGGACAGTTCTCAAGCCTCTCCGTCCCCACAGAATTTAATCCAGCCCGGCACAGAGGGGTCAGGTCATGGCGATGGGTCTCACTGGCTCGAATTTTTTCTTATTCCCCCATGTCCTCTCTCCTAGGCAATCATTTCTCATTTGCCTGGTCTTAATACCCCATATGTCTCTAGCTCAAAGAGCTAAGAAACACTCCATCACTCTTAAGCTGGGCCTTGCCACCTGCAGGCCCCTCCCTCCCACACATATGTTCACACACTGGGGCAAGTGGTGAGCTCTGGCCCCTCCAGCCCCTGTCCCCCACCCCACCCTTCTCATCTTTCTGAGAAGGATGAGAGCCTTCTCTTTAGGGGGTGGGCATGTAAGGGATCCTCACAGCTGGAGAGCAGCTGGAAGAGCCCCACCTAGCCTGTGCACTCAGGGTGACTCCCTGGAGGGGACCAACAGCGAGGGCAGAAGGTGTGGGGAGCCGGGAGAATTCCTGCAGTGGGTTTGGTCTGGGAAAGGGGGTGGATGCTCAGCAAGGGGTCCTCGGTCTCAGGGAGGAAATGGCCAGTGGCGAGGCACCAGCTGGCTCCTGTTCCTCCTCCCTCTCACCCACCTCTCCACTTTGCCATACCATAGAATCCAGGTGGACACACCTACTACAACTGTCTCATCCCTCCTTGTGACTTCACCTCCACCATCGGTGCCAACCTCTCCCCCACCCACTGCAGGGTACTAGAGTCTGACCCAAGGTCTCCACCTCAGAGGCAGGCCAGTCCGCAGCTCCTGAGGATGCTGTGCACAGGAAGCTGAGGTGGGGCCAGAACTGTTCCTGGCTCCTCTCCTGAGGGGCTAGCAGTCTCCCAGCCCATCCTTAGAATCGCCTTTCCTGAGCTGAGATGAAGAGCTGAGAGGGGAAGGGCCAGAATGCACGAGGCTGGGGCTGGGGGCAGCAGTGCCCTCTGCATTCTCTTCATATTCCTGTATGTAAATAGTTTCCCCCAAAGAACCATGGAAGGCCCCATCAGTACCCCTCCTCCTCCTCTTCCTCCTCCTCCTCCTCTCCTCTTCCCCCCAACCCCACAGTTACCAAGACAGAGTTATTTGGACAATCTCTACCTGCAGGTCTGGGTTAAGAAGTTTGAGTGGGGCCTGGGCATGTAGCTCAGTGGTAGATCACTTACCTGACTTGCTTGAGACCTTGGACTCCATCCTCAGCACTGCAAAAAAAATGGGAAAAAATTAGGCAGAAGTAAGAGACATCTCACATGCCTGTAATCCCAGCAGGTCAAAAGGCTGAGACAGGAGGATCATAAGTTCAAAGCCAGCCTCAGCAGAAGCAAGGTGCTAAGCAACTCAGTGAGATCCTGTCTCTAAATAAAATATAAAATAGGTCTGGAGATGTGGCTCAGTGGTCAAGTTCCCCTGAGTTCAATCCTTAGTACCAAAAAAAAAAAAAAAAAAAAAGTAAGAGACATTTTCTTAATGTTTCCTGAACACCCTCCCCAGCTAGAGATGTGATGATCCGGCTTCCCTGAGTCCTGTATGAGACCCATTTGGTCAATCATTCCACCAAAAACCTCCCCAACTTGTATGCTGGCATGTATTTAAACTCCTTGGAGCTGACAAGATTGTGGCCAAAAAGCCATTGACGTTGAGCACCCAGTGCTTGGCACTGGGCTGGACTCTGCTGGAGGAGATGGAAGGAGAACATCTCCCTGGGCTTCCACCTCACACAACCCATTAACCCATAAAGGCACATATTACAAATCTTGGAGACGCTCATGCTTGAATAGAACTTTGTAATCTTGCCTCATTCTCATTCAGGCAGGCAATCCTATGTGAATGTCAAGCACACAAGCTAGACAGAAGAAAGAACTTCCATAGGGCATCAATACTGTATAGAAAAATCATCCAACTTGAAGGATTCTCTTCTTGAGAGGTAATGAACGAGGAGCACCCTCACCTTGCTGAGCCAGAATTAAGGTAAGACTCCTGTCTGAAGGCAGCAGAGTGGCTGAGATGGCCCCCCTAGATCCTACCTGGAACAGAGGGGAGGAGGAGTCTCCAGTCAATGGGGAGGATGAGTCTCCAATCAATGGGTGTGAAGAGGAGGGAACACAGGAAGAGACAGATGGGTAGATGGAGGGATTGGAGGAGTAGGGGGACCAAGGCAGGAGAGATGAATGGTCTTGGCGGGACTGATGGACGAGGCCAGGATGGATGGAAGGCGGCTGAGGTTTGTTTACTGGCAGCCCCCAGCCCACCCTCACCCAGGGAGAGGAATGGAGGCTGGCACATCAGAGGGCTCTTAGGGAAGCTCATGGAGATGATTTAGATGGGAATGAATCAGCTCCATATGGATTAAGTGTCCCTGCAAATCCCAGGACCTTACAGATGAGGGGACAGGGCAAGGGCACTGAGGGGAGGGGGAGGGGGCAGTGTGGAGCTGGTGCAGGGAAACACAGGCCTGGAGCCATGGAAGGGCTCGGGTGGGCAGGCCTGCGTGGACACAGGCCCCAGGCTTGCGGGTCCTGCTGTTTCTCTGGCTTGGTACCAGGCTTTAGGGAAAGGCCTCCTCCTCTGCCACAAACCCTGCCTGGCTCCCCTGACTGGGGAGACAGTCTTTCTGCGTATGTCTTTTGGTCTTCATTTTTCTGTCCCTCTCGTGACCGGGCCTGTCCCTCCATTTCCTCCATCTTCATCCACACTCCCAATCCCTCCCTCTGTGTCTCTGCACCTCTGTCTTTCGCTCTAGAAGCATAAGTGGCCTAAGGAAACGGCCCATTTCCTACTTACCTCGGGCCTTAGCAGGCCGGGTCTAGTGCTGCCCTGCATCCAGGCACAGGCTTCCTCTTACTTGAACTTCCTCAGGTTCCAGAGGAGGTCAGGAGAATAGCAAAGGCAACATTGATCTCTTTGGCCGGGAGCGAGTTGAGTAGACACGCATTACTTCCAGGCCATGGGAGGCCACGGGTTCTCTACTGGCTGGGGCTATGGAGGTACCATCTCCCCTATCCCTGCCTTACCCTCAGCAAAGGACCCCAAATCAACTGTGGTTATGAAGCCGGCTGCCATGTGGACAACCTGGAGTCAGAGCACAGGGTAGTCACATATGACAATGGTTGAAATATCACAGCCACTCTCCCCCCACCCCCACTGGTGATCTATGGGCTGCGTGCCCTGTAAAAATTATTTATTGGGGCCTCAGAGTGTCCTGATTTAGTGCTGCTGCCTCTGGGGCCGAGAGGCCTGCCTGTCCGCCAGAGTCTAAGCATTAAACGACGCTAAAAAGTTAAACGGCCAACGTTGGGGGCTCACTCAAGGAGGCACCATAAAGCTGTCGGAGCTGCTTAAATCAGGAGCGAGGATTCCCCGGGACATCTTCTCTCCATATGCTACAAGCCAAGAAGGCTCTCCTCACCCTCCTGCCACTCACCCATGCCCAGCAGCCCACAGAAGGCAGGAGGCACAAGAGCTAGGCACCCAGGATAGAACCCCAAAGAAGGTCAAGGATGACCTTCTCCCCAGGGGTTCCTCCAGCACTACCAGGGGCAGGGGCTCAAGAGCACAGGGAGTCACACTGTCCAGCCCTCTGTCTCGGGGCAGGTGGTCTTCTTGGTCAATCCAGTTTTTTTGTTGTTGAGTTAGGTTTTTTGCAGGGCTGGGGATTGAACCCAGGGCCTCTTGTATGCTAGGCAAGCGCTCTACCACTGAGCTACAACCCAGATCTGGTTTTTAAGGACTTCCAGCCAAAGAAATCCCACAGTCTCTTCCCATGGCCTGTGCAGAGGAGTCTTTCCTAAGCGTGTCTCACTTCAATCTGTGTTCTTGAGGGTCTAACCCTTCCTGCCCAAGTTGGAGGGGGTGTTCAGACCGAACTAGCCAGTGCCCTCTGACCTCCTGTGTCCCCCACACCCACTCATGTGGCTCTTTGAGAAACAGAGACTCACCCATTGCAAATTTCCATCCACCAGGCACCCCTGGGTGCTGGCACGGTGCTCAAGCTTCCCAGACAGGTTTTCGCTGCTGAGCCCCAGCCCATGCTGCCACCGCCCGGCCACCACTGAGCACAAGGGAAGGTGGGTCTCCACAGGCTGTCTATCATGCTTTCTTTCAGCAGCAATAAAATTCACCTCTTAAAACCTCCGCTTGGGTCCCTAATATTTGCCTGGCTATATATCTCCGGTGATATATGGACAGAAATTGCTCATAAACGGCTATAAACCTCTTAGTGGAGCTGGGGAGGAGGTGCATGAGGGTAGGCACAGCCCAGGCTGCAGGAGGATTGGAAGCTGAGCCACTTCACTGAGCATCCCAAAGCAGACGCTGGATCCCAGTACTAGATGTGGGGCTCTGGTAAGGATGAAGGAAGGAGACCCAGAAGAAGATCTAATGCCCAGCAGGTGGTATTATGGAACTGTCTCAACTTCTTGCTCCAGTGACATGCTGTGTGGCCTTAGGCAAGTCTCTCAACCACTCGGTACCATGCTTCCCATCATTAACACGAGGATAATGACATCTACCCAGGCTCCTGCATTAAGTTGTCATGAGGATTAGATGAAGAAACACAAAGAAAAAGTAGAGAGGTTGTATATACTGGGTGCTGCCCTCAGATGGGCAGGGCGTATTTGGAAAGCCTACTCTATGCTGATACTTCACCTAATTATCCCTCATCCTTCAACACCCTGCTGGGTAGATAGTAACTGTCGTTATGTTGCGGATGCCAAACCCCAGGTTCAGAGAGGTGTGCACAGGCTGTCAGCGCCAGAGACGGGATTTGTACCAGCCTGATCCCAGAACTGGTGCCTTTCCACACATCAGAATGAAATCCTGGCAACTGGAAGAATAACCAGGGGGCTTCCACACGGGGCAGAGGGCTGAAGAATGCCTTCTCGCTTGGGGTCCACCCCTCCTCAGAGGCTTGCACTCTGCTCCAGGCCTCTAAGGGCCTGAGAGTCAAAGGGGTCCCACAGCATATTCCCAACCACTCTACCAAATTACCCAAGAAACAATTCTCAAAGTGGAAGGCAAAACCCTGGGGCTGTGTGAGAGGCCTGAGCCACTCCGCCCAGGAACCCAGGAAGCATGGGTCCTGGGTGACCAAGAGAAGAGAGACTTCAGGGAAACAGATACGAACTATGATGGCCATAGTTGCATGGTCCCTGGTCCAGCTCTGCACAAACCAAGCACTGGCTATACTTTCTGGTCACCCTCCTTCTCCGGCCAGCTGCTGGATGCCTCTTCCTTCCTTGACCCCCCAGCCCTCCTGCACCCCTCAACCCACACGCCCACACCCTCCCTCTCTCCCACAGCATCCCCTGAGGCCCCTGTCTGTCCCCTCAGGTTGCTCCACCCTCTCCCTCCCTGCCTAGAGAGTCCCTGTGCCCCTTCCCTCCACCATGTCCCTCCTTGTCTTTTCCCTAGGTCTCTTCAGCCCAGTTGTCCCCTATGTTTGCCCATGATGCCCCTCTCCTAGTACCCCCCTAGTTCCTGGATATTCCTTCCTTCAAGCTCCCCCCACTCCAACCCTTCCCCTAGTGTCCCCCCTCATCTCTTCCCACCTGCCCTCCAGGACCCCCAGCACCTTCCTGCTCTTGCCTCCTTAATGACCAACCAGGACAAACAGTAGGAAGGCCACCCTTCTGCCCCACACTTCCCCTTCCCTGGTGGCTCCCACCCCCAACCCCACTTTTCTTTAAGTTTCCAAATCAACCTTCCTCCAATAATAATGATAAAGCAGGAAGCCGGGCTGGAGGACAGTGCAGATTTTTCTTCTTGACACGGAGTTTCCGATTAAAGGCAAAGGGACATAAATCCTCCCGCGTAATTGCTGTACTCCAGCTCAGAGCCACTCGGGAGGGAGGCTCCCACCCCCTCTGCCCCTACCTCTGGGAGCCCCACCCCCCATTCTGAGCAGCGCCTGGTCCCCAGAGCCTGAGGGTGGGCCTACAAGGAGGAAGGAATTGTGCCTTTGTGGGTGAGGCTGTGGTGAGGGGTTGAGATACACTGGAGCCAGGCTCCCTCATCCCCTGCCAGGGCTCTGAGGCCAGAGAGATGGCCCATGGCCCATCTCAAAGCACCTTCCCTGGCCAACCCACACTTTGGAAGCACATTGTCACTTGGACAAAGCCTCTCAGGGCTCATCGTCTCATTTGATACTTGTAAGGATCTTGAAAATGAGAAACCTATCAAATGGTGGACAGGGTCCTGGAGACCCATCTGTGCAACTCCCTTCATTTGTAGGGGAAACTGAGACCTGTCAAAGGGACTGGCTGATGGCAGAGCTGGGGTGGGAATGCTGTCCTAGCCCCAGCAGTACTTGACTGTCGCACACAGGGAGGGGCTGTCAGGGTTTAGATCCATTAAATCATGAGCCTAAGTTAAGTGGCCTCCTCCCAAGTGGTTTTCTCATCTGCCGGGGAACCTTTGTTAAGAATCAGAGATGCTTGGTGCTTTTGCCCCACCTTTAGAGATTAGAGGAGGAAAACACTAGAAGGGTGTGTGAATTGGGGTCCCTAACCTGAATCCAGGTTCACACTTACCCCTCCTCCTCAGGACTGCACACCCAGAGAGCACCACCTGTTTACGCCACAGGTAGACCTCTCAGCTTGGCCTGGAGCACTGACTCTTCACCCCCCCAAAAGCCATAGAGTCCCCGCACAGAGCCCTTCCCATTCTGTTCCCTAACTCTCTCCCAGTGCTGCTGCCTGCTCTCCTCCTCCATGAAGCCCTACCTGATTTGAAAATCTGGGTTCCACTTTCCCTTGTTTCTCCCTGCACTGAACAACCCCCTCCAGCTATTCCTAACTCAGGGTCCTGGATGCAACCTGACTGACTCTTCTCTCTCATCAGACTAAGGGGCATGGACCTGTCTCCTCCCTCTGAACAGCCATGTCCTAACTCTCCACCCTTCCCACCATCTCCATTCCTACTCCCTCCTCTACCAGACTCAGACCCCAGACAGATCTGTTCATGCGTGACTACGGGAACCCAGGAGTCCTGTCTCCCCTTCCTCAGTGGAATTTTCCACAGAAGGTCCAAGGTTCCTATTTCAGATGCAAAGTATTCATGGCTTCTCAGCCTCCCTGGACACTTAGGGACCATTTAACCTGCCCTCCTCCAGCTTCTTCTCTTCAGTATTTCAGAAGAGGGGAGCCCTCAGGTGGGCCAATAAAAGAGAAGGCATATCCTCATGTGTTCACCCATCTCTAAATAAAACTAGCCTCAGCCAACTCCTGCTTGAGCTCTTGGACATTCTGACACAGTGGCAGGCAACTGGGTTCTCTACCAAACCCCGATTGAAGGCTCCATGTTCCACCAAGCCACATGCGTGTCCTGTGTACTCCCTTTTCCTGCTACCATGGCAACACTCAGTGGAGAGGAAGGGCCAATGAGGGCTTTGGAGTCAGAGAACACCCTGCCTGAGGCGTGAAAAACAGTGTGAGAAGCTTTAATGCTTCCGCAGGGGCCTACGTTGAGGTTCCTGAGTGGTTTGGGGTGACATTGTAGCACTATCCGTCCTGGGAGTTCTGGGTGTTATGTTTCTATGGGGCTTTGGGGGTGTCATAGTCGATTCTCGATGCCACTGTAGAATTCTGGGTATTCCTGTGGAGTTGGCCTGGGGATCACAGTGGGGTTTCTGGACTTTGCTGCAGGGTTTCTAGAGAGTTACTCCAAAAGGCCACAGGCCTGTGCTACTGCCTGGGCCCAGTGATGAGGCAGCTATAGCAGTTTAAAAAAAAGAAGAAGAAAGAAAAAGAAAAAAGCTAGAGCTTTTTTTTTTTTAACATTTTTGGTTTAGTTTTTCTTAGTTGTCAATGACTTTTATTTTATTTACTTATATGCAGTGTGGAGATTCGAACCCAGTACCTCCCACATGCTAGGCAAGTGCTCTACCACTGAGCTACAACCCCAGCTCTAGGGCTTTTTTTTTTTTTTTTTTTTTTTAAGGGCTTGGAGGGAAAGAGAGAGGGGCCCCAGGCTCCCACAGGAATGTGGAGTTTCAGGGTGGCAAGGCCATGCTCCACCCTGTCTTGGTGTTCCTGTCCCGAGTCCTGGCCAACAGCCTTAGTTCATTGGTGATGAGGGGCTGGGGATGGAGAGGGATCCTTACTGCCTTGGGAGTGATTGCGTGTCAGAAAGTACGCATGCTCCTGGCTTTCTGGAGGGAGGAAGGGCCAGGCAGAGGGACCTCCTGAAGTCCCCAGCAGTCTTTCTGGGTATGTGTCTCCAAAAACAACCCTACCCCATTGTGAGAGCCCAGCCCTGGCAGTTGTAGGAGCAGGAGTAAATTCAGGAGGAAAAGATACAGACCCCTCTCCCCAGAGACCCCCACACTTTCAGGTATAACAGAGCTTCATCTTGGACCCAGGAAAGCAAATGGTGAACTCTTCTTGCAGCTTGGACAACTTCCTGAAAGACAGAAGTATAAAGCAAGGATTAGCAGAGAGGTGGGCAGCCTGGAGACAAGCAGAAAGGGGCTGAGGGCCACTTCAGAGGTGAGTAAGACGACGGTGAGTTCCAACCCTAGAGACTTCGAGTAGGGAAAAAGTCCTTCACCCCCATATCCATCACTCCCCTAGCAAACATTATAAGGATAGCTCTGTCTCGGGCATGGTACCAGAAAATGCATACAAACTAGAGGCAGTGACAACACCTGGAGATGTGTTCTCTGAATCCTGGCTGGGTAAGCTTCTAACTCCCTGCCGCTCCAACCCAAGAGAAATGCAGTCTCCCTAATTCCAGCTTCCTTCTTCCCTTGGGTCCCAAAACCTGCCCCAGTCCCTGCCATTCAAAAATGCCCGGCTCCTCTCTCTAGGAAGACTTTGGAGCATCTTGGGTCACAGCTACAGCAGGAGGGACTAGGGCTAGATATTCCGAGCACCTTCTCAGCAGCAGGGAGGAGTGGTGCTGAGGAGCTGAGTGGGAGGCCAAGGAAGGAATATGCGAGCTGATGAGTCCAGGCCCGAGATCCTCAGCCCGACTTTGCATCTTGCTGGAAGACGCATCATTCATCCGCCCAGGGGTGGAGATGGGGCAGGGGGAGGGGAATGAAAAACACCCACAGCCCATTAACCTACTTTTGCAACTTCATTAAAACAGAGTCTTCGACATATCGCCATAAATTGTCTTCTGAGGAGGAAGCCAGATCCAACATCAAGTTCTAACAGTGAAGCCTCGAAGAAGAGACTGGAATAACCAGGGAGGAAGGAACACTGTATATCTGTGGCATTGGGTGGCAGGAGTCATCCCTGAGAGACTTTGCAGACTAGGCCAGTCCAGCCGGGCCAGCACGAGGTCTCTGAAGGGAGCAGGCCGCTGTGTGAGGGGCCAGGAAGGGATTTTATATAACACTGTGCACTTGCTACTCTGATCAAGAACCCTCAGAGCTTCCTGGAGTCCCTTTTAACAAAAGCTCTTCACCTTTCCGGGCCTCCTTCCAGAAGCCCTGTTCTGGCCTAAAGCCCTCTTCTGCAAGGTGCCTGCTGAGCATGGTGTCTTTCCTCCAGAGAGCCTGAGGCCAGCACTATCCTGGCTGGGCAGGTGGCCCAGCTCAGAGGAAGGAGAACTGACCCACGGGTAGCAGGGCTGGGCTCCCAATTTCTGACTGGGTAACCTGGATCTAGATCTCACAAGGGTAGTGACTAAGTGCCCAGACCCTGGAGAGGGACTACCAGGGTTCAAATGCTGCCCTTGCCATTCAAGGAGTTTGGCCAAGTTATTTAATCTCTCTGCCTTAGTTTCCTCATAGGAATAAAGATATTTCAAAGTTATTGAGTTTTAAATTGGATCACCCATGGAAAATGCATGACAGGGGGCTGGGGTTGTAGCTCAGTGGTAGAGCATGGGCCAAGCATGTGGGAGGCACTGGGTTCAATTCTCAGCACCGCATATGAATAAATAAATTAAATAAATGTCCATCAACAACTAAAAAAAAAGGGGGGGGGGGAGAGAGAGAGATTCTGGTGGATCGTATTTGCTAAAAGTAAAAAAGAAAGAAAAAAAATGCATGAAATTGGGACCTATCACATCCTAGGAGTCAAAAAAACATGGGCTCTTATTATCCTTACTATAAACTTATTTATCCAAGGTTTCACAGCCTGAAAAGAACCTTTGATGATCATGGAATCTGAACATTTGTTTTATACATGAGGAAACTAAGGCCCACAGAGGGGAAGTGATTTAGGCAGAATTAGAACCCAGATTTCCTTCCACCCAATAAAAGGGTCTTCCCTGAGGCGTCCCTTCTGGGCCTTAGTTTCTTCATTTGTACAATGAAGCAATTAGAGTAGGACAGTGGTTTCCTTGTTCCTTATTATTTTATTAGGAGTAGGGACTTAGAACCTCTCCTCAAACCTCTCAGCATCCCGACCTGCCGGCACAGTGGTGCACACCTGTAATCCAGAAGCCTGGGAGGCTGAGACAGGAGGATGGTGAATTCACAGCCAGCCTCAGCAACAGCGAGGCGCTAAACAACTCAGTGAGACCCTGTCTCTAAATAAAATACAAAATAGGGCTGGAGAGGTGGCTTAGTGGTCAAGTACTCCTGAGTTCAATCCCCAGTACCCCTCCCCCCAAAAATCCCAACCTTCAAAGGTGGACTAGATCTGGAGAAAACAGTGCAAGGCCAAGGGTAGGAGGTGGTCTGGAGTGTGAGCCATGGGCCCTCCTTCCTCTTCCCCAGCAGCAACCCCAGAGGCCTGTCAGAGAAACCCTGTCATAGACCCAGGCCAGAACAGTCTCAGGGCTTCCACCACTGTCACCCAGAAAGATAGGTATCTCCAAAGCCTCATGGAGATGGAAGAAAGACCTCTAGAAAGACTTCCTGGGGTAGGATTATTTTGACACGGTCCCTACACAGACAAGGGGTAGAGAAGAGGGGTGCAGGGGAACACAGCAGAGAGCCCCCCGGGGCACAGGGCTGTTCTGCCTGCCCAGGTGTCCCGCCCTGACTTGCCTCCACTGTCTCCCCGCTTCCCAACTCAGAGCTGCCTACACTCCTGCCATAGCTGCAGCCCAAGAAAACATGGCCATAAAACAGACATTTGCTTTAATTTTCACTTGAAGGGGCAATTTAACACAGGTCGTTTGCAAGCTGTTGGGAGTTCTTTACAAGTCTGGATCATGTTTTCCCAAAGTCCTCCCCGCAAAGCAGATTCCTGGGGTCAAAGTTCACATACAACTATTTAGGGAGAAGTGAGTTGGAGGGAGTATGGGAGATCTCAGAGATGGGGAATACATATGTTTTTCAAGTCACATCAACAATGGCCTGGAAAATAAGAACAAGAGAAAGCCAGGCCAGGCTAGCCAGCCCCTGGTGCTGAGCAAATGCTGTGTGATTTTATCCAACCCTTTTCCATCTCTGGGTTTCTGTAAGCAAAAGCCAGACCCATCCATCATAAATAAGAAACTTGTGGCTCAGCTCCAGTTTCCAGGGGCCTCCCACCTACTCACAGTGACCTAGATACTCATATACACAGCCAAACCACCTTCCCTGAACCCTGACTTTAGCACTTTCTACTTTGGGATCTCTCCAGCTCCCACTTCAGCCACTTCAGCCCCCCATAAACTACTGACCCTTCTCTGACCTCAATTTCGCATCTTGGGTCCTCTGCTTGTCTTCGAGGGTCCTCCCTAGGATGAAGGCTTACATTTCACTGGGTCCTCCCAGCTACTCTAAGGAGGGGAACAGTCAACCATCCCCACCTCCTTCCAAGACTCAGCTTGGCTTCCTCTCCCTTGATTTTCCCACAGTCCTTCCTTCCCCTCTCCTCTCCAGAGTCCAGGGCTGAGGCATTGGAGGGAATAAACCTCCCACCCCATGAACTGTGTCTGGTTGCATCCAAGGTCCTTGGAGATCACAAGCTGGATAGGGGTTGGAAGTTGGGACCAGAGTGCCCTGAAAATGCACCAGTTCCTCTTCGACTCTCTGCAAAGGAAGTTTCCTACCTCTAAGGATGTGTGGGACTCAGTAATTTGGGGATACACTCTGGGGCCTCCATCACCCTCTTCCAGGGGCAATGTGGGAAAAAGAAGAGAAGCCAGTGGTTGTAAAGTAAGACAGGGGTCTCTCTTCACTCAAGACCCCTCCTCTTTCTCACATTTCAGAGGAATTTTCCTGCTGTCTTGGAATTCCAGCCTCAGTATTCCCAGAGAAGGGTGATGAGGCAAGGGGGACAATTCTCAGGCTGGGAGAGACCTAGAGGTCAGGGTCAGGAATGGAAGGCAGGATGTCTTAGAGACAGAGGAGGCAGGAATATGGGAACCTGGAGGGGTGGGAAAAGCTGTGATTCCTGCCATATCAGCAGCAGTTGCTGAGAAGACTCCACCAGGGCACTGACTAAAAGCTCTCTGAGGCGGTCTAAGAAGGAGCCAGACCTCCCAGCAGGCTGCTGATCACGGACTCCCTATAGGCCCCGGATGCCAAGCTACTTGGGCTGATTTGAGAGGAGGTGAGTAGGGGTCCTCCCGGGAAGTTATCAAGAGGACAAGAAACAGAACAAAACCCACAAGAGGGGGGCTGGGAAGGGAGGGGGTCCAGACACTATTTCCCCAATAACACTCCACATGAGTACCTTGTGCATGAATTAAGCTCCCACCTACATGCCTTTTTCTAAAGTCTGAAAGAAGCCTGCTATAACACTAATCCCACTTTTGTGTGAGTAAACTAAGGGTGCAAGAGATAAAAGAAGCAGCTCAAGATTGCTTTGGATTTGTCTAGACCTGACACCAACCTGCTTTCTCCCTGAGATGGGACCTCTCCAAACTGAAGTTCAATGCCATTGATCTAGTTACCACCTCTAGTTTCCCAATTGGGAGGTTAAAAGAGGCTACCTATTCATATGTCTACAATTGAGCATTTGTCTCCATCTTTACCACAGAGACACAAAATCTCAGAGTAGGGAAGTCCAAATCTTCTCACAATGCAATTAGGAAACATGCCCAGAGAGGGGAAGCAGCTTGCTCAGGGTCATGTGGCCAAAAGAGTCGGAGCTTGGATTTGATCCACTTTAGAAGAATGCTCTTCCCTAGAGCCAGGTTCTCAGCCATTTACCTATATAGATGCCAGGCACCATATTAGGCACCAAGGAATAAACATGAATAAATACAGGCCCTGCCTTACAAGACTCAGAGGTAGGGAGACAGGGTACTCTCACCACCACCTGCAGAAAGACTTGCTCTCCAAATGCCAAGGACCACCTGCTAAGGAAGAAGTTGCTATCAGCTGGGGCAGTCACAGAGGCCTCCTGGAGGGGGTGGGTCTAAACCATCAGATGAGTGGGAAGAGCGCTGCCCTGACCATCCAGGCAGGAGGGGGAAATGGAACGCGCATGACCCACCTTCCTGGGGAGATGCTCCCTTTGGGGGATTGTGGCGACAAGACTGGAAGGCAGTTTGAAGACTAGATCAGAGAAAGCCCTAAATGATAGCTGGGAGTCTGACCTTCACCCCATCAGCAGTGGGGACGTTATAGAAGAGAAAGTTTTTTCCTGAAGTAAGAAGAGGTCCTCCATAAAGGGGTTTACTGGGAAATTTACCTGACAGCAGCTCACAGGGTAGACTGCCTGGGAGAAAACCTGAGGTACCCAGCATGTCTATGTGAGTGTTGTCTCTAGGGATGAGTGTGAGTGTGTGTGAGCGTGTGTGCGCGTTCGTGCATATGCACATGCATGCATTTGTGCACATACAAGCCTGGTTTCACAAAACTACCCTGCTCTGCTCTCATGGGGAGATGATGGATGACCAGCTCCCCGCCCCTTCTGTCTCCTTCTCGTAACCACCCTGAATGGGCCAGAGTAGCTTCCTCCCCCAAACATTCTGCATGCCCAGCACCCCAGCATGCACACAATCAAACCCTCTTAAAAACAGAGACACACACACAGTAGGAACAAAGTGAGAATTTCCCCTCCTGACACTGCCCCTAGATCCCATACCAGTAGTGACAGACACCAAGATACCAGGAAAAGGTGGGGGGTGGGGAGCCTGACCCTCCCCCAGCCTGAGGAGCCCCAAGGGCAGTGAGGAATCTGGTGGGAAGGATGGAAGGGCACTGCTGAGGAGGACAGCCCAATCCACTGGGGCCCATGTACACTAGGAGGGGGGGTAACTAAAAACACCCTGGAAGACAAGTGGAGATGAGGGGAGCCAATCAAAAGAGGGCTCACTGGGAGGGGCTACAAGCCCACCTGCCCCTTGCCTTCCTGCTCTCTACCCTCACGATAGGTGCTGACAGAAGCCAGGGAGTCAGGGGGAGACCCACCTTACCTGGCCAGCTGTTATGTTTTCTCCTCCTTTGGGGCCCTGGGATCTCAGGCCATCCCTCTCCCTTCTCCCCTCAGGCAAGAGATCCCCAAAAATGAGGAACTGTGACTAATGAATCCTAGTGGGGGTCATCATTTCTGTGCCCCGCAGTTATCAATTAATAGTGATCAGCATTTATCAAGGCCACGTCATCATATCCACTGCCACCCAGAGAAAAGGGAATGGCAGCCATTCACCAGCTCTGCTCCTCCTTCCCATTTCCCTTCTTGAAGCCTGTGGAGAATCCTACTTTGGGGATTCACAAGATCTCAGAATCACAGCAAATCTTACAGAGGACCCCTCCGCTCCTTTACTGTCTGTTAGCCCACCTCTAGCTGGGGCCTCTCCCTCCCCGCTGCCTTGAACCCCTAAGGCCTCAGTGGCCCAGAGGAGAAGGCTGCAGAAGTACTCCTCATTTCTAATCCGGAGGTCTTCCCATCCCTCCTCAAGCCAGTCCAGACCCAGAGCCTCAAAGGTAATAACCTCCTCAAATGTCCAGTCAGTGTCACCGAACCCACCCCTCCAAGACATCGTCCCACATTCTAACTCCAGGCTGCC